CTGACCCTGACAGCTTGGCCCTACCCAGGTACAGATGATCTCTGAGGAGCTGGTGGCCTCCGGTGGGACTTTGGTACATGAGGCAGACAACCCAGAGAGGCGCCCAGAAGCTGCAGCTGCCCACAGGCCCAGGGTGAGTGTGGCCTCCAGGGCTCTGGGACTGCCTTAGCCTTCTGCCTGAGGAAGCAAACAGGAGGTCCTGGAAATGAGCCCAGGAAGTAGCTGCCAGTGACTAAGTTAGCTCCCTCTATGAGCCCAGGCAAGCCCTGGTCTCTTGCTCTCTCAGGAAGGTGTGGTCCAGCCTGCAAGGGGAAGGCAGGAAGCCCTGGGCAGATTGGCCTATGGTCATGCACCCCCTCCACAGGCCAGGCTGGTGGCCTTGAAACGGCCAGATGATGTCCCACTCAACCTGTCTCCCAACAAGCGGGCGTGCACCTCCCTGTCAGCCCAGGTGGAGGGCAGCCTTGTGGGCTCTGATGGTGGCCAGGTAAGCTAATGGGGTGGCAGGGAGTGTGTGGCGGGCAAGCCAGGGCTGGGGCAACTGTGACCCTTCTCTCTGTCACTACAGCCTGTCCTGAAGCTGGAGCCCCTGCACTTCCTACAGTGCCACAGTAAGAACAACAGCCCTGATGACCTCAATACCCAACTGTGGGCCTGCGCCTTCGAGCCAGCCTGGGAGGAGGGTACGTCCTTGGGCAGGCGGGCATCGGGAAGGGCAAGGGCCACAGAAACAGAGGGGACAGCCTGGATGATGAGGGGAGCTAGAAGAGAGGTGAAGATACCTCATCGAGGCTGGGAAGAGGGGTTTGCAGGGAGGAGCTTCACAGATGCCATTGCCACTCAGCTGACCCCCTGCAAACTGCGCATTCAGGGACGACGTCTCAGACAGTGGCCACGTGTGGTGGGGAGGCTGTGTGCGTGATAGACTGCCAGACGGGCATCGTGCTGCACAAGTACAAGGCACCAGGCGAGGTGAGTGCAGGGTGGCGGGTACACACCTGCTCCCGGGATGGGAAGCTGCAGTGGCGGACCAGGCTCAGCTCCCTCCTCACCATGACCTTTTCGTTTTGTGCTGGGCCTCACTGCTCTGGGCCCAGGCCTACATGTGTGGTCACACCTGTAGCTCTGCCCAGTGACTGCTTCCTCTACCCCCCACCCGGCCCAGGAGTTCTTCTCTGTGGCCTGGACAGCCCTGATGGTGGTCACGCAGACCGGCCACAAGAAGCGCTGGAGTGTGCTGGCGGCTGCGGGCCTGCGGGGCCAGGTCCGTCTGCTGCACGTGCGAGCCGGCTTCTGCTGCGGGGTCATCCGGGCCCACAAGAAGGCCATCGCCACCCTCTGCTTCAGCCCCACCCACGAGACCCACCTCTTCAGTAAGACCCTCTCCCCTCACCCCAGGGCTCCCCAGTACCCCTATCCTGCTGCCCTGATGGCACAGTGCCTTCTGGGACTATAGGGAGCTTGGTGGCTGCTAGGCCCAATTCTGGGTCTTGCTGTCTGGCTCTGGCTTTGGTAGGAAGTGACATGGCTTTATAGCCAGCTGGGCTTTGGATCCTGGCTTTGTCCCCAGCCTACTCTGTGGTGTTGGAGTTTTCCAACAACCTAGGCCATTCTGTCTTCCTTGTCAGGGACCTCTGGGAGTAGGGGGGGATACCCCAGGCCCTCCAGGTGGCGATCTGGGGGTGAGGCATGAGCTGCAAAAGAGGCTACCAGTGCCACATTAGGTTACAGCAGCACAATGGGGATCCTGGGCTCATGAGTCTTCCTGTCTCCTAGCCTCGGGGCTCCCTCCCTGCCCGAGGGGTTGGCCTTGGAACCTCTGGCTCGGCCTACAGGAGGGAGCGGGGCCGCCTCAGGGCCACCTCTCCCCTTGCCTTCCCCACTCCCTCCTCAGCGGCCTCATATGACAAGCGGATCATCCTCTGGGACATTGGAGTGCCCAACCACGACTACGAATTCCAGGCCAGGTGATGCTTTGGGCAGGCCTGGGGAGAGGCCAGTGGCTGGGGTGGGGGAGTGGATACGTGGGTCCACAGACTCACTCTCCCCCTGGCCTGCTGCCAGCCAGCTGCTCACGCTCGACACCACCTCCATCCCACTGCGCCTCTGCCCCGTCGCCTCCTGCCCAGACGCCTACCTGCTGGCTGGCTGCGAGGGGGGCTGCTGCTGCTGGGACGTGCGGCTGGACCAGCCCCAAAAGAAGAGGTGAGGCTGCAGCCAGGGGTTTCTCGAAAGCCAGGCCCGACCTGGGCTGCTGTCACCAAGATGGGCTCACATCAGCCAGGGCACACCATGCCCTATGCCCTGGGGGCTGTTTTCAGAGGCCTTTTCGCAGTGCTGGCCTGTTCCCCACCTTCTGCTAGGTTCTCAAAAAGGATCCTATGACCCCTTCCTCACCCTGATGTTACCTCTGGCACTGGGCTGTGGTCACCTCACCTTTACTCGGGGCTTTAGCACTGCAGTGTCCCCAAGTGATCAAGCCCAGGTCCTGGAACTCACTGGAATGTGACCTTTCTGTCCTAGCATAATGTCCTCATCTGTAAAAAGAGGACAATGACTTGCATCCCAGCGCTAGCAGAGGGCAGGTGAGGTGGTATCTGGGTAGGGAAGAAGCTGGAAATGCCACACTGAGGCTCATCTGCAACACCTGCCCCTGACATGGTGCCTGGCCTAGGGTCCCTGCCCTCCTGGGGGCCCCAGCCTAGTAGGAGAGACAGGCACTCAGCAAAGCCAGTTAAAACTCCACAAAATATGTCAACCACAAAGGAAAGAGTGATGGGGGACAAGAAGCTCTGCTGAGGTGTGACCAGGGACAAACTGGTAAGTTCTAGGGCTCATGCTTTCCTCCCCAGGGGCCCTGCAGGCGAGTCAGCCGGGCAGAGGGAGGGAAGGTGCTCATGGAACGGCATGTGCAAAGGGCCAGTGGTAGGGAGAGCTGGCTGACCATGCAGCAGTTTGGCCACTCCTTGGCAAGACAGGTGCAGATGGCCCAGAGGTGGCAAGGCGGCCCGGGCACACTAGGCTTTGTTGGCCATGGTATAATGAACAGCCCAGGAGGAATGGTAGGGTGGGTGGCAGGAGTGAAGTAGCTACTATGTGGAAGAAAAGCAGCAAAGCCTCAGCAGAGACGGTGGCAGCGTCCTGCCAGGTGCTGGTGGCCTTGGGCTTCTCTCACCCTGGGCCCCCTTTCTCCCTCTGTATGCCTGCCTGGCTGCCACGTCCTGTGGAGTTGCTCCCCTGTGGCCGATGCGTCTGCTTCTCCTACTCCCCTGCCGCTGCCTTGGTCATGCCCGTCCCATAGTTGGGTGCTTGGGTGCCTTTCTGGCTCCAGGCTGGCGCCTCTCCAGCACTTGGACAGCTGCCTGGTGGGCTTTCCTAGCAGAGGTGATACTCCGCCCCCATGTGCTCAGCAGTCACTCCCCCTGCCTCCAGTCAGAGCAAACCCCGCCCACACTGGCCTGGAAATGCCTGCCCTGCTCACCTCATAGTCCCAGAGGCACTGGCTCGCTCCAGAACCTTTCCTGACCACACTGCCCACCCCCTCCTGGAGGAACCAGCCCCTCATGCATCTGGACTCCCATTACTGTGACTCAGGACACCAAGCTGCTGGCCCCACCTTCCAGGGCAAGGCTGACCCTCTCCAGTGCCAGGAAAGCAAGCGTCCTTTTGGTCACATCTTCCACCCTTCACACAGGGCCTGGCCCAGAGCAGGTGCCCAGGGCAGCTCTTTGCACATGCAAGGAGTAGCCAGCCCGTGTCTTCTGCCTGCAGGGTGTGTGAAGTGGAGTTCGTCTTCTCTGAGGGCTCCGAGGCATCTGCACGGAGAGTGGATGGGCTGGCATTCGTGAATGACGATGTTGTGGGTGAGCGAGCCTGGCCTAGGGGACAGCCTGGGTTCCGGGCACCTAGATGGGTGGCTTCTCCTGGGGCCAGGGTTTAGGCACAAGGGTTTCTGAGGTGTCTCCAGTGGGGAACAGGTGTCTGGGAGGGGCCCAACACGGTTCTCTTTCCCCTACAGCCTCCAAGGGGAACAGCCTGGGCACCATCTGCCTGTGGAGCTGGAGGCAGACGTGGGTGGGCCGAGGCCACCAGTCCACAGTGGCAGTGGTCGTACTAGCCCACCTGCAGTGGTCCCCCACGGAGCTGGCGTACTTCTCGCTCAGCACCTGCCCTGGTGAGCCCCCCTGCCTGCCCCTCCCACCCACTGCTCCTGGAGCTCCACCCCACCTTAGGCTCCCACCTTGTCCTGGCAGATGAAGGCATCGTGCTGTGTGGGGACGAGGAGGGCAGCGTGTGGATCTACGATGTCAAGAGCATCCTGAAGCAGCCACCTCCACTGTCAGCAGCCCCGCAAGCCCCCACGCAGGTACTGCCCCGCTCACTCCTCCCCAGGCCAGGGCTGGTGCTGTGCGGACCTGGTCTCTGGGAAGCAGGTGCCCAACCCCCTTTCTTCCCACCAGATCCTTAAGTGGCCACAGCCCTGGGCCCACAGCCAGACGGTGACCAAGACCATGGTGAACACGGTGGTGGCCAACCCCACCTTTACCTACCTCACCGCTCTGACGGACTCCAACATTGTTGCCATCTGGAAGAGACAGTAGCCTCCAACAGGAGCGCCTGCCTCTATTGCAAAGTACCAGGGACACAACTTAACTTATTCAGCTTTTGGGCTGGCAATGGTGGTCTTTTTACCAGTGAATATTTGTATTAAATTCTGTGGACGAGAGCCTGTGGAGAGCTGTGTGGGTCCCACCTTAAGATAGGCAGATCTGGCAGCTGAGGCTTCTAGAAGAGAGATTCATGGACGGTCAAGGGTTCTCACAGTTCCCTTCTGCTCAAGACTGTATCCCAGCACTGCTCCCCCACCCCTGCCCCATTCCCAAGTTTTGGTCCAGAATGAGTTTGTCCCCGTCAACCTCTCAGACAGAAATCAAGCTCTCTGGGCCAGAGTGTGTCTGAAACAGGTCATCTGCCTCCATCAAACCTCACAATCCACGTGCTTGTGCCCTTGGCCAAGTCTTTTCCTGCCATACTTTATTAGAAAGATAAAACAGAATCTATGTACATCAAGGGTGAGAGGCTCACGGATGGCTCCAAGGGTCACAGCCAGGACTGGCCACTCTCCTCTGCGCCTGGAGAAAAGGGCTTGATGCATGTAGGAACTGGGCTTACAGGCCAAGCAAAGGTCTTTGTAGCCCACTACTCAATTCCTTCTTGCTTGTCTTTAATGGCCACCTGGGAAAGAAGAAGGCAGCGACTTAGCTGCTCAGCCAGGGCAGCAAGGATGGGACACCCCCAGTATCCCCTAACCAAAGTCCAACCAGAAGCTGCTGCCATGCCCTCCTGAGGGTAGCCATCGGCTACGCTCCACAGGACACCCAGTCCAGGCAGCAAACCTGGCCCCAGATGGCTCTAGGGAGCTGGGCAAAGGGCACCACTGAGCTGGCCCAGCCCACCCCATTGTCTGGGGCTGGAGTCGTGCGCAGGCAGCTTAGACACTGAACATCTCACAAGGCATGGCTTTTTCCTGCTGTAAACTGTTCTAGGCCCTGAGGCCCCCTGACAGGTGTGACCCTACCCTGGGATGAGCTGCCTGCTAAACAAATGTCTGGAAGTAGCCAGGCCTTACAAACCAGAGCCTATACCACCAGATGAGGGACTTAGACCTACTGCCCTTTTGGGGCTGCTCTTCCCTCTCTCCAAGCACAATGAGAGCACATAAGGAGGAACGCTGGAGCACTAGTTAAAATCCCCAGCCCATAGGCCTCAACTCCACAATCCCTTAGTCCACACATCCCTGCTCTGTCACTGCTGCCCCCTCCCCCCAAATGCCCCTGAGGAAGCAGCCTAGGCGTGGCCTGCGGACATTGCAGCTCTGGGCACACTGGCAGCTCCAGTGCCGCCCCCCGCCACCCCGCACCCTGGGCTCCTACCCGGAACCGCTCTTCCAGCAGAGACAGCTCGCTGATGAGGTCGGTGATGGCATTGGTGAAGGCCTCCTGGGGGCTGTAGTCCGGTGTGGTCTGCACGCGGATGATGATCTTGTGCTCCAAGGGGTGGGGGACTTTGTAGCCAGCAAAGAGCACCTGTGGGTCCTTCAGCAGCTGTCTGAGATGCAGGGACAGGCAGTGTGAGGGAGGCTGGTAAGCCTCTGGTCTGAGACAGGCCTCATGGCTACCAGGTGGCTCCCAGCTCATGCCTCAAGGCTTTCCAGCCAGAGAGTTTTCTCTTCCCCTAAATCTTCAAGTAAAACAGTTTCAAGAAGATATACCACATGGGGATACCACCCCACCCACACCCCCATTCCCCCTGCATCCATGAGGATCAAGGACCTAGCTATGAATAGGTTTCCAGCATCCTCTCCCCTCAGTGGAAGTCAGGGACCCTGCAGTGCAGACAGAGAGACCTCCCTGTGCATTCATGTCCAGCCAGCGTTCAGTAAACCAGAACAGAAGCCCAAAAAGACCATCTACTAGGCCAGGCATAGTGGCTCACGCCTGTAATCCTAGCACTCTGGGAGGCCAAGGCGGGTGGATCTCTTGAGGTCAGGAGTTTGAAACCAGCCTGAGCGAGACCCCATCTCTACTAAAAATAAAAATAAATTAATTGACCAACTAAAAATACATATACAAAAAATTAGCCAGGCATGATGGCACATGCCTGTAGTCCCAGCTACTCGGGAAGCTGAGGCAGGAGGATCACTTGAGCCCAAGAGATTGAGGTTGCTGTGAGCTAGGCTAACGCCACAGCACTCACTCTAGCCTGGGCAACAAAGAGAGACTCTGTCTCAAAAAAAAAAAAGAGCATCTACTCCGCACATCGATGGGGTGGGGAGAAGAGTGAGGCTCTGAGCAGTCAGGGAGATGGAAACAAGTCCTCAAGGCAGCACAGGCTGGCAGGGGCTGTCCATGCACACTGGGCCCTGTTCTACAAGGCTGCGTCGTGTAAATTCCCTGACACATGGGGGTATCCTCTAGAGCAGCTCAGAGTCAAGTGTGACCACCGTGAGGGGGGGACCCTTGCATGGATGGGGACACTGGGCAGGAGTCCTCTAGGCAGCAATAGACATCCCCATGCCCTACTGCACCAGGACCCTTGGCCTCCAACACACAAGCCTAGGAAAGGCCCAGCTTCACCAATGGCACCCGACGGAAGAGCCACACCTGCAGTGAAGTAACAAGTTCCCAGGCCAGAGTGGCAGTCACATCTCTGAGCACTCCCATCCAGGACTTCACTGGTTGAGCAAACACCCACCAACCAATTTCTGTGGCCTACCAGAGACTCTGGACAGCCACAGAATGCCTCTCCAATTCTCTCCCTAGATCTATGGCAGTCAGGTCCCTAACTGCCAGGGGTAGGGTGGGGAGAGCTAACCTTGACTGCCTCTCAGTGCTCATTAGCATAACACAAGTAGGTCTACTTGCTTGTAACTTGCTGCACACTCTCTAGATAGATAAATAAGCCAATACAGAAATGTGGCTTGTGTGAACAGATACAGTTCAGTGTCCCCTTGAAAGGTACTGGGGGCCGGGCGCTGTGGCTCACGCCTGTAATCCTAGCTCTTGGGAGGCCGAGGCGGGCGGATTGCTCAAGGTCAGGAGTTCAAAACCAGCCTGAGCAAGAGCGAGACCCCGTCTCTACTATAAACAGAAAGAAATTAATTGGCCAACTGATATATATATAAAAAAAATTAGCCAGGCATAGTGGCGCATGCCTGTAGTCCCAGCTACTCGGGAGGCTGAGGCAGAAGGATCACTCGAGCCCAGGAGTTTGAGGTTGCTGTGAGCTAGGCTGACGCCACGGCACTCACTCTAGCCTGGACAACAAAGTGAGACTCTGTCTCAAAAAAAAAAAAAAAAAAGGTACTGGGATTGTGAAATGCCAGAGCAAGCACCCAGAGAGACTTTAAAAAATCTTACGGAACTTGTGCCTTGCCCTAAAGAGCTCCATTAAACACAACCCCTGAGAGTCTCTGAGCTGGAACTTACGATTTAATGATGTTTCCTAGTGTGTGGTCTTCTTTGTTGATGGTGAACAAACAGGCATTGGGTACCTTGGTGTCCTTGTTAATGGTGATCCTAGAAAGAGACAGAAGCCACAAATGAGGGGCAGGGGCTAAACCCTGCCCCTGGAGGTGGGCTCGTGTGCTGCCTCCCCATCCCGCTAACCCATCCCCAACCAAGCCCTTCTCAATCTGTTCATCCCACGAAGACCTCTGACTCAGCGCAGCACTGTCTCTACACTGACTCCAGCTAACCCCACTCTGGTGCCCTCACCCACTCATGACTGCTCCTTTTTCTTAAAGCAGAGTTGCTCAGTCTTGACACCACTAACATTCTAGGCCAATAATTCTTTTCTGTGGGGAGCTGTCTTGTACACTGTAGGACATTAGCAGCATCTCAGGATCTACCCAGTAGATGCCAGTAGTAATCCCTATGACAATCAAAAATGCCAAATGTCCCTTGAAGGGCAAGATGGTCCCCAGTTGAGAGTCTGCTCTAAAGGGAGGCTGAAGTGAAGGTCACAGGACCCTGCATTCCAGGCTGTTACAAATTTTAAGAAGAGGAGACAATATTTAAGCCGACTTCTATGTGCTCAGCCCTGGACTAAGTACTTTACACAAATTACCTCACTTAATCTCCTCTAACAGAAAAATCCCACGTTTAAATACAGTTAACAAACCTATTTTCCAAGTGAGGAAATGGCCTCAAACAAACCAAGTCACTTGTCCAAAAATAGAGTCTCGTTAAGTGGGGGATACAGAAGTCAAGTCCAGGCAGTCTGACCAATAGGCTCCTTCAACCAGCAGGCAGTGAGGAGTCACAGCAGGTTTTACACAGACTAGTGACAGATCAGATGTGGGCTTTAGAGACATCACTCTGGCTGTCACATACATAGAAGATGGAGGTGGTGGATGGGAGACCAACAGGGAGGCTGCCAGATCCCAGAAGAAAAGGACTTTGGAGGCAGACAATCTGGGTTCGAATACAAGCCCGCCACTTGCTGCGTGCCCGTGGCAAGTTACTCAACTTGTCTGAGCCTCAGTTTCCTCCTCTGCAAAATGAGTACTCACCGCTAACCGCGCAGGACTTCCTTAAGCTTGACAGACACAGGTCGACTTATTTATTTGTGAGACAGAGAATCACTCTGTAATCCCAATAGAGTGCAGTGGCGTCATCGAGGCTCACTGTAACCTCAAACTCCTGGGCTCAAGTAATCGTCCTGCCTCAGTCTCCCGAGTAGCTGGGACTACAGGTGAGCGCCACCACGCTCGGCTACTTTTTCTACTTTTAGTAGAGACCATCCTCGCTCTTGCTCAGGATGGTCTCGAGATCCTGACCTCAAGCAATCCTCCCGCCTCGGCCTCCCAGAGTGTTACGAGTACAGGCGTGAACCACCACGCCCGGCCGAGGTCAACATTTTGCTCAAGCAAAAGCCGCTGCCGTCCCGGGCGGAGGACCGGCGGGAGAACCGCAGGACCCGCAGGGCTGACGGCCGACGGTCGAGGGCTCGCGAGCCTCGGCCAGACCCTCCCGGATCCACCCGGCCCTACTTACTTCTTCTCGCCCTCGAAGAGCAGGAAGGACTCGAAAGCTGGAGGGGCGTTCATGCTAGCGCTGCAGCAGGGTCCAGACTCCAAGCGGCCGCTTCCACGGCCTCCAGAATCCTATTAAGCGATCTCTTCCGGGTTACGTCGGCGGTGCCAAACACGGGTAAGGACCGTCTCATCGCCCCCCACCGGACTGGAGGGTCTTGCGCAGGCGCCAGAAATTCCGGAGGGAGGCCTGTGGCTCTACGCATGCGCTGATCCAGAAAGCCTCCACCTTTGTGCCTCGGGCCGTTGAAGCCCTTCAGCGCATGCTCGGAGCGCCGGGAGTGACGCTCTGCTACTGCAGAGACTTTCTTGCCCAGGCTGAGCGGGAACTCCAAGCTGTGTCTCTCCGCTGCCCATGTCTCATGATCTCTCTTTGGAAATGTGCCCTTGGAGTACACAGCAGGAGGCTGTGTAGAGAATGGAGGCGTGGGGTAGTGGGCAGCTGTGGCTGGAAGCGGTGGGGGCTGCAGAAAGTCAGTGGCTGGAGGCGGGTGTATGGCTGCGCCTCCTGCCAAGGCTGCCTGGGCGCACTGCGCCAAGAGCCCTGGCTGGGTTGTCTCTAGCTTCTTAGCCAGGAGGGACAATTGGGTGAGAGCTGGCAGAGGACGTAGCTGTAGACAGGGGTGAGAGACGCGCTCAGAGGGCTAAGTGTATCATCCCGTTTGGTTGGTTGATATTTTGCAGACTATAAAGGCCCCACCTGAGCTGTTTGAAGCAACAGGAGCTAGGAGCTCATTAGCTATTGGAGCCCTAATGGCTTGGCAGCTGCTTCTCCAGGGCTAGGCAGCAGCTGTGGAGCCTCTAGGGAAATCTGGAACTTCCACCACCACTTATGGGGGAGGACCAATTCCCACCTGAGCCCTGGGTGAGGAAATGTTAGTCTGCCAGGGCCCTACCTAGAACCTGATTCTCCAGGCCAAGTAGGCCAGGCACCTTTTTAACTGATGCAGAATAGAAAAGGATTCCCTGGAGTTGTAACCCCTACCCTCAGGGTCACCCTGGGAAAGTTTAGGTCAAGGATGCTACCCTCACCAGGACTGCAGAGGCCTGGAAGTGATGAGGCTAGCCACCCTCACCTGGGCTAAGGACTGTGTGGACAGGATTTTCATCTACCAGGGGCTTCACCCCCAGCCACTGTGGAAGTCTGTTCTCTCTTGGGGAGTTGTGATGACAATTGCCCTTTCCTTCCCAGACCAACACGAGACCCTGGGCCCCAGAAGTTGTCAGACTGCAAAGAGTCTTCAGTGGCTTGATATTGGGCTGCCCCAAGAGAAGGCCATGTGACCATTCCCATCTCTCATGAGACTAAAGAAGATGAGTCTGACTGGCACAACTACAGAAGAGGCTGCTGGAACATGGGGTGTTAAAATTATCCAGCCTGGGACACAAAGTGAAAGGGCAGTGTGTGGCATGTTTGACAGTGTCATACTGGAGATGTCATTGGACAGGCCTGACAGAGGTTTGTTTAATTATCTAGGGCAGAGGCTGGCAAACTACTGGGATCTGGGGACCAAATCCTGCCTGTGCTTGTGAAGTTTTATTGGAATACATTTGCCCACGTGTTTGCACATTGTCTGTGGATGCTTTCCTACTACATGGCATAGTAGTTGTGACTGAGACCTGCACCACTGGTCCTTTAGAGAAAAAGTTTGCTGACCCTAAATGTGGAGACTGTGCCTGTGTTTGACATTCATTCATTCATTTAGAGACAGGTTTTGGTCTGGAGTGCAGTGGCCTCATCATACCTCACTGTAACCTCAAACTCCTGGGCTCAAGCAATCCTCCCACCTCAGGCTCCTGAATAGCTGGGACTATGGGCACATGCCACCCCACCCTGCTAATTTTTCTATTTTTTTGTAGAAATAGGGTCTCACTCTTGCTCAAGCTGGTCTGGAACTCCTGGCCTCAAGTCATCCTCCCACCTCAGCCTCCCTAAATGCTAGGATTATGGGTGTGAGCCACTGTACCCAGCCCTGTCTTTGTTATTTACTGTTTGATTAGAGCCCAGACATTTAAGTGTGGATTTTTTTTTTTTTTTTGAGACAGAGTCTTGCTTTGTTGCCCAGGCTAGAGTGAGTGCCATGGCATCAGCCTAGCTCGCAGCAACCTCAAACTCCTGGACTCAGCAACCCTATTGCCTCAGCCTCCCGAGTGGCTGGGACTACAGGCATGCGCCACCATGCCCGGCTAATTTTTTCTATATATATTAGTTGGTCAATTAATTTCTTTCTATTTGTAGAGACAGGGTCTTGCTCTTGCTCAGGCTGGTTTCGAATTCCTGATCTCGAGCAATCCACCCGCCTTGGCCTCCCAGAGTGCTAGGATTACAGGCGTGAGCCACCGTGCCTGGCCTTAAGTTATTTATTAACCTGTAGGTTTCTGTCCCACAGAGAAGAAAACTCCATTAACTAGTTTTGTATCTAACATCACAATCTCATTCTAGCATTCTTCTCTCAGAATGCTTACAAATACATGTACCCAGTTTTTCAGAATGTTCTATGAATCAGCTTTCCAAAACAATCCCTTCTGAATTGATGTGCAATAGGTCTTTTTTTTTCTTTCCTTTTGAGACAGGGTCTCACTCTATCACCCAGGCTAGAGTGCAGTGGCCTCATCCTAGCTCACTGCAACCTCAAACCCCTGGGCTCAAGTGATCCTCTGTCTCAGCCTCCCAAGTAGCTGGGACTACAGGTGCACACCACACTTGGCTAGTTTTTTTTATGTTTTGTAGAGATGGGGTCTAGCTATATTGTCCAAGTGGGTCTCAAATTCCTGGCCTCAAGCCATCCTTCCACCTTAGCTTCCCAAAGTGCTGGGATTACAGGTGTGAGCCACTGCACCCAGCTATAATAGATTTTAATCTGTGTTCATTCTATATTTGTATGAATCTTTTCTCTTTTACATATTTGAAAATTATACTTTGACAAGGCTTTGTCAGGAGGCGGTTGTTGCAAACCTGCTCAGATGGACCCAGAGGATGAAAGAAGCAGGTACCCACTCAGGGATTCCCAGGGTGCCCTCCCTGTGGTGAACACCAGTCCTTGAAACCCCAGAACATCCAAAAGGCATGAGGACGTTTGTGAAACCCTAAGAAGCAGCCAGAGAACCAGGGGTTGGTGATTTGGGGTTAGGGTTGGTACAGCAGGCTCAGCTACCCTTGCACCCAGGCCTTGGGCCACGGAGGGAGGGGAGAGACCCAGCCCTGCAAAAAAAAGCGTCATGAAGTCCATAGGATGGTGGTATCAAGGTGAGAACTAAAAATAAAATCCTAAGCCCCCCAACCACTGAATGGACCCCCTCTTGGCCAATGGGACACCAGAGAAACCTTGAAACCTGAGTTCCTGCCATGACAATACTGGAGGTCAGACATAGCTCATTGTACCCCTCACTTTATGCGGTTTAGACACAACTGACCAGCAGGAATCTTAACATCAAGACCACATGACTGAATGGACATAAGAATGGACTCTGGCTACAAGATACCAAATTATAAACATGGCCTAAGGCTGTGCCAGGCGAGAGTTAAGTCATGCTCCCCCACATTTAAAAAATAAACTATGTTCTAACTGTCACAAGGTTTTTTTCTTTAGCAACTAAACAAGCACTGGCCTCTCAATAAGCAACATTCAAACCATTGCAAATCAAACAAACAAACAAACAAAGACCACTGCAGCTCATCTGCCACCACATGCTAACCGACCTCCTCTCTCCACAGCTTGGATTGAACAAAAGACTGATTTCTGGAATTTTCTCCTGATAAGAGATCTCGACCACAGACTGGTTCTGGCTGGTTTACTTGCATGCCCTCGTGTTCCTGTTTCACCTTTTGATGTTTAGGACCTAACTGTAACACATTCAAACATTAAGTCTCCACCCCAAGGTGAACATGGGTCATATGCTACATGTTTGTCCAATATGCATGTGCTAGGACTGTTCGTGAAGACCCACAGCTCCTCCTGCAGCCTGTGGAATATGTATACCTGGTGTTAAAATGCAGACCCTGGGCCTCGATGGCTGAAGGTTTGTATCAGACCTTTAAAACATTAACAATAATTCCTAACATCCTATAGTCGATTAGTGTCCAAATTTCCAGTGGTCTCATAAAGATGTCATTTCACACCTCTTTTGTTTTTTAGAGACACTGTCTTGCTATGTCACCCAGGCTGGAGTGCAGTGGCTATTCACAGGCAGGATCATAGCTCACTGCAGCCTTGAACTCCTAGGCTCAAGTGATCCTCCTGCCTCTGCCTCCAGAGTAGCTGGAACTACAGGTGTGCAGGACCACACTCAGACTTCAACATTTTTTGTTTCAAGTGGTTGCTAAAAAGTCTCTAAGCCTTTTTTTGTATTGTAATAAAATAGTACAACATAAAATTTCCCATTTTACCCATTTTTAAGTTTTCAACTCAGTAGCATTAATTACATTCTTGACGTGCAACCACTATCTAGTTCCAAAATCTCACGTCTCTTTTAATCTATAACGTTTATCCTTCTATCCTAAATCTTACGATTGAAAGTGGTTTCAAACAACACATTTGAGCTCTGAGCTGCCTAAGTCCAAAGCCCAACTCCTCTGTCCGTGTGTCTCAGCTTTGTGATCTTGAGCAAATTACTACTCTCACCTTATGTTCCCAGGAGCTAAAATAAATGGAGATGACAATAGGATAACAGGTGAGGAATTAATGAATTGATAGAGGAAAAACGCTAGAACAGGGCCCACCTGGCTGTGTCTATTAGCTGCTGTGGTCAGGAGTGGGACTGAAGCCAGGGGGCGCTGGCGGGGCAGGGAGGGAGTCTTGTGGGGAGGGGGGCAGGCAGGAGGCTGGGTCTGGAGGCCTCAGAGGCTTCTGTGTCCTCACAGGCACAAAGGCCGCCCACCCTGTACCTGGGCAGCAGGTCAGCCACAGGAGTGGGCACCATGGGGCGGGGCAAAGAGGGATGGAAGCCCTGCCTGTCCCCTGCTGCTCCAGCCACCCCAGAACCACTTCAGTGGTACGAGCCAGTGGCCCATCATCACTGCCCCACAGAGGCAGTGGGGGCTCCTCTTGGGCAGGGAGCAGGGCTTGGTGGGCAGCTGGTGGGCTTCAGAGGGGACTGACCAGGAAAG